ATCTATCTATCTATCTATCTATCTATCTATCTATCTATCTATCTATCTATCTATCTATCTATCTATCTATCTATCTATCTATCTATCATATAATATAATATAATTATAATATAATATAATAGACATATATACAATACCAAGAGAGATTCTTCCAATGAGGTAGGAGAAATCAGTTTTCTGTTCCAGTAACAGACTAGTTTTCAGTTTAGCACAGACTCAGAGCTATAGTACAGAACTAAGCCATGCCCAGGCTCCTTGCTGTCTCCCTGTTGCTCATACAGCAAATACTGTTTCAGTGTCCAAACAGCCCTCATTGGCCGACCCAGTTGCCATATCCATTCATTGGCTGACCTTGTTGCCTATTCCAGTCTTTGAATATACTCTGACAGGTTCTGCCACCCCAGTGCTGGCCGAGGAGGACTCCCATTGCTCCCTTGGTCTTTCTGTTCCAGGAGAAGCACCATGAGGTACGGCTGGATCACCTGCTGCTGCATCGTGCTGCTGCTCCTCGTCCTTTTCAGTGGAACGGCGTCTTCCCACAGGGCAGGCAGAAGAGGAGGTTCCAGCAAAGGGTCGCCGTCACAAGGGGATGCCCACTCAATGCCGAAAAGCAGCAGCAGCAGCAGCAGCAGCAAAGAGAGTCAAGGCGGAGGTGGCCACGGGGCAAAAATGGCCGGACTGGCCGCAATGGGTGCAGCGATGGGATACGGCTTGAATTCCCTTGGCAAGTCCCACTACGGCCACAGAGGGCACAGCTCTCTTTTGGGGAGCAGAGAGAAGGGCCTCAATTCCTCAGCGGTGATGGTGAAAAGCCATCTTCACAGCCAAGCGTTGAAAGGGCCCAGCCTCCCAGCCTTCTCCCTGCTAGTCTGTGGTGTCACCACATCCCTCTTCCAGAACTAAAGTTGGGCTGCCTGTGGGGGTCTCAGCCTGGCCAGGGGTTGAGAAGAGGACCTGTTGCGTGTGTCACCTTGGGTTTGGGTTTTTTTTGCAGTGGCGATGAGATTTCCTCCTTGTGGCTTTCAGCGTGTTGACAACGGGGTGTTGGAGCAGACAGGTGGTCGATGTCTTTATAACACAACGCTGTCCGAGTGCAGTTCAAGCCAGAGTGGAGTAGCTAATAAATATTTATTTTTCTTGCCTCGAGTGTAAAGTTGAATGTAAGCCCCCGTCTCACTGTAAACAGCAGCCTTGCGGGGTAGGTGGAGCTGCCTGGGAGCGAGTGGTCCCAAACCACTTTCAAATCCAAGGTCTGGCTCAAACCTTAATCCTTACCTTGGCAGTCAAATCTCAGAAAATAGCATCTTCTGGAAGAAATGAGCAAGATTCTGCCCTCAAGGGTAGAATTGGCCCAGGATTTTGGGTGGAGGAGGAGGAAGCAAGTGACATTTCCTACCCGCATGGAAAACATTTGGAGATCTCTGCAGAATCGGGATTCCACACTTTGCGCCTAGTGTCACCCAAAGATGGATGGCCTTTTTCCCCCCAGGCCATAATGGCCAAAAAATGGGCAGGTTTTATTCAATGCATGGAGCCTTCCAGAACTACAGACTTCAACTCCCAGAATTCTCAGGAATGGTGAGTGAGAAATTTGGGGAACTGAAAATCTGTACAATCGGAAGATGCCAAATTCGGGGAAACATTGCCTGAGATATATGTAGGTTGTTGTTCGCCAAATCCAGTCTAAACATCTAGCTGATAGATGAGCAACGATAACAACAACCGTAATATTACCAATAGTGATAGGCGCCTTGGGTACAATCCCAAAACATCTGGAGCACCACTTAAATACAATCGGCATTGACACATTCATCACCAGTCAATTGCAAAGGGCAGCTTTAATGGGAACAGTACCTGTAACACCTCAAACTTCCACATCTGTCTATCTCAGGTCCTTGGGTAGGACTCGATAGGCAGTTATGAATGCCAAATCCCATCTAAACATCTGGCTGGCTCTATGATGCATCATTAAAAGAGAAAGTCCATGTCCTAAGTAGTACTTGTGATACAGTAATAATATTAATAGTACGGATTTTAAAAAGTATTCTCTGACTTTGGCTTCAACAAGTTTTTTTTTTTACAGATGACCTGTAAAATGTTAGGTGACAAGGAAAATATTAGCAAACATTTATATCTGGCAGTTTATTTTGTTTGGCTATTTTGAAAGGCATAAACGGTTTGGCATGGAAAAACAACTCCACAATAATAAAAGTTCTGTTTGCTCTGGTGTTTTCAGTTATTGTGTAAGAACATCCTTCCTGTGCATATAAACTGTTCTCTTTCCTTGCCAATCCAAATTCAGCATTTAATTAGCACATGTTATCTAAGTCAGTGTTTTTCAACCACTGTGCCGCGGCACACTAGTGTGCCGTGACATAGTGTAAGGTGTGCCGTGGGAGAATTACT